AAGCACAAAATGGCCTACCTACGAAGACTGCAGCTAATGTAAAATCTCTAAAAAGTCATCAGTGTCTGAGCTAAGCTGTCAGGGCAGATATTTCCCTGGCTTAGCTGTACACTAATGAGATATAGAGTCTTTCATCTGTTGGCTGAAATCCAATGTGTCCTTGACTTCTGTGCAGTTTGAATCTTAGTACTGCAGACCAATCATATTTCTTCTGGGAGGTGTTAGGAGCCGTTTCTGAGAGGACTAAGAAGTTGAACCAAGGAGCCACCGCATCTGGAATAGCCATGTGTCTGAGATGCTATTATCAAAATCTAGATAGCATGATAGATATTGCTATTCCTGGCAATAAATGTGTAGTGATGGGAAAGAGAACAGCTGTATCCGACTATTCCTTCCTTACTTTTAGCTACACATTTAACTTGCTATGGCTGCCAGCTATCCTCAGTAAGGTGAAGGAGGCACTCACATTAACAGTGTTGAACTTTTTGTTGAAAGATAATTCATCCTTACCTCAGACAATAACCTTGGATAGACTCTGGTTACTTGCTAAAAGTGACCTTGACTACTGCACTCCATGCCCAGCACATTCCTTATATTGTCACTCCTAAGGAGAAAATTAGATTTAATTAGTACATCTGAAGGTATTTCAAGGACCTTCACTGTTTTGTTGTGAGATGTTATACTCCTTAACTTATTCTATACTGTGTTATAGGTCAAGAAATCTGATGTCTTAACATTTTTAAAGAAAAAATTAACAGAACGGGCTCTGAGTAAATGCAGAGGATCTGATCAGTAATAATCAGCTATGATTAATTGCAATAGCCTTGCTTAGTTAAATGATAGTCTGATGGTCCTTCTGTGATCATAAAGTGATGTTGCTTACCCCTGAAAAGACACATTTGGAAAGAGTGGCTTATTATCTGAAACAAAATAATAGCTACTAGCTCAATAATGGTGTAGGTCCTTGAAGTATCTTCAGATACTCTAACTAAATCTAATCTTCTCTTTAGAGGAGAAAATAGAAAATATAAGGAATGATATGGGTATGGAGTGCAACAGTAGGTCACTTTTAGCAAGTAACCATGGTCTTTCCAAGTTTATTGTCTGAAGTAAGGATGAATGAGTTCTTCACCCTAAAGTTCAACACTGTTAATATGATTGCATCCTTTCTGTGAAAAACTTGGACAATCACAAGGTAGCAGGAAAGAGGGAGAGAGAAGTTTGATTTTTTTTTTGCCATCTAGTTTCTTCAGACCAAACCAAAACTACTTCCCCCCTTCTATTAGTTATCCGCATATAACTTTCTCTTAGACTTGCTTTTTGAAACCCGTTATGTTTCCATTGTCTATAAAGTTTGAAGTTCTGTAGCAAAAAAACTATTTTTTCTGTTTTTCCTCTTTTTAAAAAAAAAAATTCAAAATGTAAACATTGATAGAGATCAAGTGCTGAAACAATGAGAAGAACACCACATACAGAGGACAAACAATATGAATGATGCTGTCATTTTCATTGCAAAAATTGAATTCTGAACTTAATACCACTGAATTTTGAATAATTTGTTTGGTTTTATCTTATGTTTTATTACATAATAGGGGAAAATGGAGAAAAGGGGGAAAAAGGTGCTCCAGGCCGCCCTGGACGAGTTGGACCTCCAGGGGAAAAAGGTAAATCTTATTTTAAAAATTGATTAAGCATTGGATTAACATTACTTAATAATAAATGGAGAATATACTTTTTGTATATATTTTCTTAATGTCATACTTGCATATATAGGTTTGTACCTAATTAAACTCAATCTTAAGCTTTTGATTTATTAAAACTAGCATTCAGGTGGAATGGTTTATTTGAGAATTATTGTATATTGTGTTGATTGAGTTTTGTAGTGGAAAATACAAACTATTGAAGCATTTAAATCTGCTCCTCTTCTTTTGGTGCCTAGAATTGGGAAAATGTACCCAATAATGGGAGGGGGAGGGAGTGGACAAACTAACAGCAGCCCCAAATGACCCAAAATTGCTGATCAGACCTCACCCTGATTGCAACAGAACCTCATTACTTTGAAAGATGCCAGATTCTACCCCAAATAATAATTGTTTCTGGAGAAGAGGAAAAAATACTGCTTGAAAGAGTGAAAGAGTTAAGAATCACACTGGCATCTGGAAATACTCTTTGTTTTTTTGTAAATTACAATTCCATATTTACCCTTATCTCCAGAGGGAGAATGTTCCATGGCTCAGGTGCTATAGCAGAAATGGCATATCTTCTGGGCCCAGCTAGTATTCTTTAGGCCAGCGGTTCGCAACCTATGGGTTGCGACCCCATTTGGGGTCGATCGACCATTTCACGGGGGTCGCCAAGCAAGGCTGTCTGCCATTTTTTTTGTCCGCCATTTTTTCCCCTTTTCCGGCGGGTGCCTTAGCTCCCTTGGGCTGGGCCAGCTGGTGGTCGGCCTGCTCCGTCTCTGCCACTTGCCAGCTACGCCTCGGCTGGCGCAGGGGGCGGAACCACGCATGTGCGGTGCTTCCGGGCAGGGAAAGTCCTTGACTTACGACCGGTTGGGTAGTCCTCGACTTACGACCGGCTTAGTCCTCGACTTACGACCGGTTTAGTCCTCGGCTTATGACCAGTTTAGTCCTTGACTTACGACCGGTTGGGGGTCGTGGCATTAAAAAGGTTGAGAACCACTGCTTTAGGCAATGGGACCCGAAACATGCCCATCCAGCCTGACCAGATTGGATGAATAGAAAAGACTGGGGAGAAACATCTCTCAAGTAAAATTTTCCAAAATCAGCATTGTAATTCTAATTTGTTGTCTCTGAAGCTTTAAGCTCTGAGAAAATGTCACAAGCCAATAATAAAGATGGATTTATTTTATCTGGAGCTTTTTTTGTTTATAAACACATGCTGGTGTGCAGTATTTTCTTCCTTGAATCACTATTACCGTGTTAACTTTTTCTCTTTAGCATGTATACTCCAAGCAAATATGATGCACTCTCCCTGTGGACCATGATAACTGGAAGTAATTCTTTCAACACACATTCTTCCCTTTCTTTTTATCCTCCCTTCGCTCTTGCACATTCTGTTCCTTTCAGCTTTAACGAGTTAGTTTTAATTAAGACATGCTATAAAATAGATATGGTGCTAGAAATTCATAAAAACAGAAGGCCTTTTAATTTGTCTTTGATTTTTTATATTATAGGAGAAGTGGGAGACAAAGGGGAGAAAGGTAGCATGGGGCGACATGGAAAAGTTGGTCCCATAGGCTCAAAAGGTATATTTTTCTTCATTCTGTGTTAAGCTTTGAACAATATATTAAGTTTAATTTTTACTAATGATATATATTTAGATATTTTTACAGAATAAAATTTAAAAACTAACCTAAAAGTCACATGTAAGGCTTAGAAGTACGATAAATGTATGAATTTGGGTTTCTTGATACAGGTCAGAGAGAATTATAAATATTATTTCTTCCCAATTAACTGATTTATTAACCGTGTTAGCCAGTATATTTTAAATCAGTATCAGGAAAAATTTAATACATTGATTAAGGCTTATTGTCATATCCTTCAGCACTTATTTTTATGATGTGTCATCTCATGTGCAGTTCCAGATTCGTGTGCTATCATACTTCAACATTTTAATTAAGCCCACAAAAGTACCTTATCTGCACCCAGTGCAAATAATAAATTACTGGAGTCCTCCCAGCTTCACTCCACTTGGGGTGTACCCAGCACTATGCTCTGTAATGAGATGGGAGCCAAGTCCTTTTTGGCTCCCAGCTCATTATTACAATCCTGGTACAGCTAGGGAAATATATGAGATAATGCAAGAGTAAGATTGATTGCCACTCCAGGCCTATCCTTGTATTCTCACATATAATAATAATAATAATAATAATAATAATAATAATAATAATAATAATAATAATAATAATAATAATAATAATAATAATAATAATAATAATAATAAGAAGAAGAAGAAGAAGAAGAAGAAGAAGAAGAAGAAGAAGAAGAAGAAGAAGAAGAAGAAGAAGAAGAAGAAGAAGAAGAAGTTGGAAGGGACCTTGGAGGTCATCTAGTCCAACCCCCTGCTCAGGCAGGAAACCCTATACCATTTCGGACAAATGGCTGTCCAGTCTCTTCTTAAAAACGTCCAGTGTTGGAGCATTCACTGCTTCTGGAAGCAGGTTGTTCCACTGGTTAACTGTTCTAACTGTCAGGAAGTTTCTCCTTAGTTCTAGGTTGCTTCTCTCCTTGATTAATTTCCACCCGTTGCTTCTTGTCCTGCCTTCAGGCGCCTTGGAGAATAGCTTGACTCCCTCTTCTTTGTGGCAGTCCCTGAGATATTGGAACACTGCTATCATGTCCCCCCTTGTCCTTCTCTTCATTAAACTAGACATACCCAATTCCAGCAACCGTTCCTTATATGCTTTAGCCTCCAGTCCCCTAATCATCTTTGTTGCTCTTCTCTGTACTCTTTCTAGAGTCTCAGCATCTTTTTTACATCGCGGTGACCAAAACTGGATGCAGTATTCCAAGTGTGGCCTTACCAAGGCATTGTAAAGTGGTATTAACACTTCACGTGATCTTGATTAATACAATACAATACTTAGAACAGCCCATTTATCTCTTTTCTTTTTCCTTGTGAGCAAGTGTGAAAGGGAGATGGGACTGGCACTTTTAAGACCACTGTCACCAAGACACTTACACATTGGCAGGTAATATGATAGGGTGAAGGTATTGGAACTCCCATCCCCATCTGCCAAAATAAGCTGGAGGGAGCCTGCCTTTCTCAGTAGCATCTTCTGCCAGATCTTATTCACTCTTTCATCCAGGAAGAGATGAAGAGCCCCCCCCCCCATTTCCCATTTCCTCTAATATGGAGAAAGATGTTTGGAGAGGAAAACCCTCATGAACTGGAGGATGAAGGAAACCAGGGAGAATATCTCCAGAGATTTTCTGAGTTGCCAATGATATTTGGATTTGAATTCTCACTGCACTTAGACAGTTCCAGGTTGCCATTTAAGATACCCATTCATATTCTTCTAAAAATTATTTATCTATCTCTCTTGTGTGTGTGTGTGTGTGTGTGTGTGTGTGTTATTCAGTACTTCTAGTATGCTTGCATCACATATGCCACTGCCAATGGCATTTTGATAGGATACTTGAGAAGACCACAGAGATAGCAAGTTTAAAGAGTAAATAAACAGTATTATTAATAGTATTATTAAACAATTATTAATCATTAATGGTATCGATGCTAGGGACACACTAAAAAGTTCTGAAGCATCTTCAATTTTATTCCTTAGTTGCAGGAATGTATTTTCTTCAAGAAATTGTCAGATGTCATTCAATAAAATTACATTATGTTTATTTTGATTTTGAAACACATTTATGTATGAATTACATTTGATTTCATTAGGCATTACTTTCCCAGTTATGTATTGAAAAGATAATATCCAGGCTTGATAATGTATTGATACAGAATAAAATCTCATTTGCTGAGAAGCTGAATTGTCTTTTTTCTTAGGACAAAAAGGAGATAATGGAGATATAGGTCCACCTGGTCCTAATGGAGATCCAGGTAAATTATATTGGAACTGGCTGTACTATCTCTCATAGTCCATTTTGCAATTTAATAACGCTTAAGTCATAGTGTCTTATAGGTAGGCATAAGAAAATATGACAAAACATATTAGGACTGTGTAATTTCTATACATGTGCAAGTCCTCCTCCCTTGTTCACTAATACAGGTAGTCCTCAACTTAAGACCACGACTGAGCCTAAAATTTATGTTGCTAAGTGAGACATTTCTTGAGTTTTGCCCATTTTACGACCGTTCTTGCTACAGTTGTTAAGTGAATCACTGCAGTTCTTAAGTTAGTAACACAGTTGTTAAGTGAATCTGGCTTCCCCATTGACTTTACTTATCAGAAAGTCACAAAAGGGGATCCCATGACACTGGAAAACTACAACCGTTATAAATATGAACCAGTTGCCAAGCATCTGAATTTTGATCGCGTGGCCATGGGGATGCTGAAACAGTTGTGTGAAAAATGTTCATAAGTCACTTTTATCAGTACCTTTGTAACTTTGAACAGTCACTAAGCAAACTGTTGTAAGTTGAGGACTACCTGTACACTTGAACTAGTCTCTTGTTTTCACCATAGATTCCTATTATATAGGAAATCACAGGAAGGAATCTCAGTGAGAATGACTTAGCTTAAATGTGGTCACCTTGCATCAGAATAGGAAAGCCCTGCTTAAACACAGTTAACTGCGTTCTCTGTTCAGAAAAAAAAAAGTTATTCCTGTGGTTCTTTTCCATGGGGAAGCCTGTGTGGAGAAGATGAGCATTTGAAGCCAAAATAGTGCAATCTAAATACGAATTTATATGACTTTCAGGACTGGTTGTTGGTGAACACAGAGGAAAGAGTACTCTAGTACAGGGCTTTTCAACCAGTGGTACGGGTACCACCTGTGGTACATTGGCACCTGGCAGGTGGTACGCGACCATCCTAGAAAAGTGGTAGCAGGGGAGGGGAATGAGCTGAACTGGTGCCAGCACCGCACAAGCCTGAGCGAGAGATGGCTGGAGCTGCAGGGCTGTCAGGGCTCAGCGGAAGCGCCAGGATCCGTGCCGCTTTCCAGCTGATCGGCGCGTCTTCGGGGCTGTCAGGACTCAGTGGAAATGCCAGGATCAGCGCAGGCTCCACCTGGACCTCGGCGCTGATCCTGGCACTTCTGCTGAGCCCAGAAGAAGCACCTATCAGTTGGAATGTTGCAGCATCTCCAGGGTCTTGTGATTTACATTGAGATGCTTGGCAATTGATTCATATTTATGACGGTCACAGTGTCCCAAGGTCATGTGAAGTGACCAAAACCTGCTGTAACCACCCAGCAGACTGGGGTAATAAAAACGAAACACCCCCACCCCTCCCCCGCTGCCAATTCTCAACAGAAATGCTCACAACAATGGAAACCTCGGACAGGAGGAAGAGTGTGGCTGGGCGGGCAGGCGTCTTGCTCGGCTGTTGCTTGGGGGGCACTTTTTCAGTGCCATTGTAATTTTGAACAGTCACTAAGTGAACTGTTGTAAGTCGAGGACTACCTGTACTTTATCACTTTTTTCCTTTTTTGGGGGGGGTCATCAAGTTTTTGACACCTTGCTAAGCGACTGGTGGTACTCGGATGTTGCCATATCCTAAAAATGATACAATGGGTGAAAAGGTTGAAAAGCCCTGCTCTAGTACCGCACTTGTATCTGATTTATGGGCTTTTTGTCAACTTTGGTTGGGCTTGATGGAAAAAGAGTGTTCCACTAAGTAGGCCTTTGGACCGCTCTTATACTTTTTTTAGGTATTCCTTGTGAATGTGGCCAACTACGAACAGCCATTGGTAAAATGGATAATCAAGTGACCCTGCTGACAACAGAGCTGAAGTTCATTAAAAAAGGTAGGGATGTTTGTGGAACCATATTCCCCTTCCTAAATATAAGAAATGGTTTTCGGAAGAATCTGGCTTGCTTTTTAGTTGGTCAGCTGTGTCTGTCTTATATGGAATGCATTAAGTAAGTTTATAGAAATGCAAGTGGTCACTTTTCAGCACTGCCCTCCTCCGCAGCTGTTGCTGGTGTGCGCGAGACAGATAATAAGACGTACCTGCTGGTGAAAGAACAGAAGCGGTATGTGGACGCCCAGCTCTACTGCCAAGGAAGAGGAGGGATCCTGAGCATGCCCAAGGATGAAGCCACCAATAATCTCATTGCGTCCTACATCAATCAAGCTGGCCTCAGCCGAGTTTTCATTGGCATTAATGACCTTGAGAAGGAAGGCAGCTTTGTCTACTCTGACCGATCCCCTATGCAGACCTTCAACAAGTGGAGCACTGGTGAACCAAATAATGCTTATGATGAGGAGGACTGTGTAGAAATGATCACCTCGGGGGGCTGGAATGATGTGGCTTGTCACATTACAATGAATTTTGTATGCGAATTTGACAAAGAAAACGTTTAATAAAGTTTCCCCCTGCCAGGCTCTCTATATGAATTTCTTTGGGGGAAGGTGAATAATTTGGGCAGTCCAACTATTATTGTAACCAGTACTCCAATTTCTAGATTGATTTGATATGGTTTTTTGTTTTGTTTATGAGATCCTTTGTATCAATGTGTAAAACTATCCCAAGATAGTTTTATCCTCATCCCTTCTTTTTATTCACATTTTTTTCAAGCAATCCCACCATCAACACACACACAATTAAAAAGTTTTGTAAAATTTCTCTTTCTTTTGTGCAGGTCTTGAGTATGGACCTTTCCCTCTATACTTGTGAGTATAGTGGGGTACAGGTAAGAGAAAAGTAATGTAGGAAATAAACCTTATTTATTAGATATGGCTATTTATAGTTACCCACTATGGGGAAGGGAAGTAATATTTCTCATGTGTTTACTTCACTCTTATTTGGCATTAGAGCTTGGGTTTTTTATTAATTAAACCATTTTTGGTATTTTGATCTTAGAAAAATCATTTTTTTTCAGGATGACTTATAAGTAACTCCTCTTTTATCATTTCACCTGCAGACAACATGAACCCACAATATGTTCAATGCTTTTGCCTCAAAAAATTATATTTGTGTGTGCATGTCAGTATATACAATGCAGGGAATTGCATTGTTTAGCTGTCCATGCAACAGGTAAAAGTGTGAAACATCTCTTGCATAGCTGAAGATATGTGGCTGACTAGGTAGGCTCATTCCTGTACAATACACAAAGAAGTATCTAACCACGTAGTAAACAGAAATCCACTAATTTTTGAAATGAAGACTCTTATCTTTTTTTAATAGGACTTTGATTACCGCTGCTGTGGATAGACTGTGATCTGGATAAAAGTTGGCACATAGGAACATGAAATATTTTTAAGAGTAGTGTTGAGAAGTTATTGAACAATGGTAGTAAAATGTAAATATCAGGAAAAGCAACAAAAGATGTTAATTTGTAAACTGACCTTAATCCTAATTACTCCAAAAGTGCTGGATTAGAATATGTTTAGAAATACATGATGTTAGTATTGTACAGCTGTAAATATAATCTAGGTATTTCAAATATCAATGTTTACCCTTTAGAAGAAAAGAACAGAGATGACACAATTTGCATTCCTGAAATAAATACAGCCCACATTTAGGCAGTGCTTAGCTGTTTGAAATTACTGGGCTTTAAACTTTGTTCTGTCCAGAAACCTATAAACTCTTGAGTCAAAAACCTCAATTTCTTCACTTTTGAGATGAATAAAAGATATACAACTCTTTTTAGGATATTTTAAATAATATGTCTGTGATTTCCTTTTTTACAGAAAACACTTATTCTTTAAACAAGAAGTCATGTTGATGTGGTTTCATAAATATATCTTCAGGAGAATAGTAATTTCTGAAAGCACACTAGTTCCTCATATGTTAAATATTTAATAGTTAAAATATTTGCAGCTATAGATTTCCTGGACTGAATTAATTTAAGGGAACAGTCCAAGTAGCATTTAATATTTTATAACTTGA